GCACAGACGTACATGCATGGCCTATTCTTTTAAAGATGTGATTAATTTAAATGCAACCATTCAAGTTTTAACATGAGCACTTGGTCACTGAGGTCACTGAGTACGTGTAGAGTGTATGTCACTGACTCTTTTTTAAATAAAGATTTCATAGTTGAATTACATGTAGATGAACTCGAAACTGTTTGTACATTTTACATGTAAAGTTCTGATGTTGATCTCAGCTGTTCATACAAACTGTACTCCCGTATGTATTCAGTATGTGAGTATGACATGTATCAAATTAGTTTAATCAGCGGACCAGATCCTGTGGTGATACTTGTTTTCCATCTCTGATCTTCCAAGTGGATGTGACAGGTCGTGGGAGGCTGCAGTGTGTCTTTATACAGCACAGTCCAGCAGACAATGGCACACTGATAATAATTTAGATGTTGCACTTACATGTAATACCAGACCACACTATCTGCTTGGAGCGGGAACAAAAGAGGGAGTGCTTTTAAGTGAAATTGACAGTCCTTTGGTATTAACTCAATGCATAGACGCACAAGTTTATGCACATTTGACGCAGAGTGTGCTGAGTACGTGCAACAAATTTATTCAGGAATGTACGGATATGGTCTGCATGTGCACACTGAGCACATGCAAGAACCCCGTTGGAAAACTTTGTACCAGGCTGTCTTTCTTTCGCCGGTGAGGGTGTACGTCAACTCAGGGTGGATAATGATCAAGGAATCTGTGATGCTAAACTGTGCACTCAAGACGTACATGTACATCTGCCAGTACATGTACATGTGTACTACATGTATTTGCAGCTCATGTACATGTACATCTGCCAGTACATGTACATGTGTACTACATGTATTTGCAGCTCACATACCGTACATGTACATGTACAATCCTAGACAGTCTGTGATACAGGTTCATTATACGCAATGCATGACTCGAGGCAATTCCAATCTGCGATACCAAACCACACAGTGATGATGTACATGTATAATGTGTGGTCTCAAAGACATTTCATGTTTGTTTTAATTCCAAGACCTGTCATGCATGGAAGGCTTTCTCAAGATTAATCTTTCCATTCCAATCTGCTTTCATCATTGGTGTGGTGAGCAAGTTTCAATATATAATTTCCATTAATCATAATATCAATGTGCAAGGGATGGGATGCCATTGATTGAGTAATAAGATTGATGGATGCAGAGAACTACTACCAGTAGTATGAGAATACACTGTGGTCCATTGTGTCTGACTGTCTTTAAATGCAGACAAACAAAACATTTGATTAAAAAAATTGTTAAAATGTTTTAAGAGGGATTAAACCCAGAACACCACCATCCTCTTGTCCCCCTGTTTGTTGAGATCAGACTTTAATTTTTTAAAGGCACAATACCAATTTCTGCACTTGTTAATTTCTACAAGCAAATTCAAGAACCGAAATGAAGTTTCCAGAAGATTTTCAGTAACGAGAAAGTAGAAAAGCAAATGTGCACTTTCACACACATACATGTACATACATTGTGTACAAGTATGCACACACTAGAGTCCTAGGTGGGTAACAGACCGGCATGTGAGCAAGTCGTTACTTTCATATTGTACATGTATGCACCCCGCTTTTAGTACGGCGAGGCCCAAAGTTAATACCGGCTTTTGCATTTTTTTTCCTTTTTTTAAAATTACTGTTTAAAGTTCTTACGGCACTTCCTATTAAAAAGTTCCTAAATATGGCTGTTTAAATACCAGAAATTTGTACAAAATGGAACATTTTAAAATTGCATGTAAAACTGATGACAACGACAAGAGTTCAGGAACTTTGTAACGTTGCAAAAGTTCCAAAATCACAAGACATCACTCCTACATGAAAGTCCAAGTACTAGTATGTACCGGTACTTACCAGGTCTGAAGGAATCTTCATCTGGTAAACTGCCAACTCCTGAGTCAATACTATCCCGATCACTACGTCCAAACTGATCCTGTTTCTTAGGCAAAGGATGCCCCTTCAGTAGACACTTGACAATCAAGGAGATGTCCTTGTCAAATGAGAGGAAAGTGTCTCTCTTTTGCTCCCCTTTTTTATCTCCCATCACGTCTGATTAATTCATCCAATGGCTCAAGCTGAAAATATTACTCTAAATGCGATGTGATGATGTCCAGTTGAATTCACTCAAGAAAATGTATAAATCTGGTATACATGTACCTGAGGTGACACGCATCACAACAAACTGCAAACACTACTTGTACGTTTCAATTTTGAAATATCACGACATGCTCATTTTCTCATAAGTAATATCAGAAAGTATTTCTCTTATTTTAATGAGCTCCAGCTGACATAAAGTGCACGTTTTAATCTCGCTGTTTATCCACTGGTATTCTGTGCATCTTAAAGCACTGTAGTTCCACAGCTGCTAACGCATCAGGTCTACCGGTATGTGGCATGTTAATTGATTACCATTATCAGGCAAAAGTATGACACAGGCTCCAACCAACATAACTCACAGACTGAAGTTTTTCTTCATGGGGAAATCCCTTCCCCAGACGATCAACAGAAAAAGGCAGAGCTACATGTAGTACTGTCCAATTGATACTAAGAACACTGCAGGGTGAGATGAGAGTGAAGAAGGCAAGGACTGATGGACACTTCGACCAGATGAGATGAGGTTGGAGTCACAGGTCTCTAAGGATGTCAAAGCTGAGTACTACTAGTTCTCACAAGTCTCTTAAGGGAAAGGAGAAATAGCAATATGGACTAGCAGCAAGCTCCTTGTATCTACCAGCTGATGTCTACAACAAGCCTGTGATCATCAATGACTGACTTCCTGTGGGACTCTGGGATTCCAAACAAGTGTAGAGGAACAAGTATGTTAATGGACAGGAAATGAGTTATGACATCACCAAAACCAAAACCAAATCCATTCATGGCACTCAGAATGAAGATACTGGTGAAGGAAGGTGATCAATAAATCACCATGAATCAGTAGACGTACATGTAGTTATCTCCGTAATTCTGTTCTGTCAAGCACATCTCCATGTGATGCATGGTCAGTTGCCGGCCCGCTATGATTACAAATCCATGCTACCTGAAATACCAAAGGCTCCTGGCATATCCTGGCATACCGTACATGTATCTACTCCAGCTTTTCACTTTCAGTTGACAAGCTTGGCATATTTTCATTAAGAAGAATTGATCACATGGCTCAGGACTGCAGTATTCTGTGATATTTGGACAACCCTGGAGATGGAATTTCTGTGTTACCCTGGCTGCATGACCCCCTGGGGTTTGGGGTGAGGTGAGAGGAGAGGGAAGCTATGGGTTCCTCCTTGATCCTAGCTTGTCTGACTAACACTTCCTGACCTGGCTTAATCCATACAGCAATTCCAAATCCAACACACCACTCACCATACCAGAATTGAAAGTCCACGACCAAGTACATGTAGCAAACAAAGAAACTGACTAAAATTTCACACAGAAACCTTCCAAAAATGGCATGCCGTGGCATCAATGAAGGACAAAGAAGAAGAAACAACAGCCTGCTGGTACCGTGGACAGCCACAGAGGAAAGGTTACCAGAAAACAGTTGAATTGTACTTTGCTTCAAGACCCAGCAGGGATTGGTGCACCGTGTACAGGTAAGCCACTGTGTATTGAACTTTGACAAGTCTGGGAATAATGTAGACATTCCAGAGTACAAAGGAGTAAAGATTAAAGCAATACACATCCAGTGCAATGTATTTAGGTTGAGAATGTGAGACTTCAAAGCCGTGATACATATACAAGTACACTGTATTTAATTCAATTGAGGAAAGTAACTTGTTCAATTATATGTAGCTTAATACTTTGCCAATTCACAATAGAGTGTGTGGGTAAATCTTGCACCAGTACATGTACATGACTGTAACCTGAAATACAAAACATGTTCAGGTACACTAAATAATGGAAAGGTTCAAATTTGGAAGTTTGAAGATACATGTACAATGAACATGTACGGTACCATAAAGTGCATTGCACATTTTAGGCATACACAAAGTACGTACACTTACCGTACATGTATAACATGTTGTGTGTACTAGTTTGGGTACATGTATCATGTGCACATACATGTACAGTACAATGTACTGTACATGTACACAGATCTACATGTAGCGGTAGACTTACAGACATGTACATGTATGTGTATCAACAGGAAATTAGTAATTTGTGTGGTTGTGACTGCTTCACTTCTTACTGTTACACAGATAACGCAATGATAACGGTATTTAAACTATTGGTGAACTACAGTGTATTCATAACATTTATTTACTAGTATTATAAACATTCTAAAAAGGAAAATTAGCATAGCTTCAAGTCTTATCAAAATTAGCAAGTGTTGACACTACAACTATGATGTACTGATACCTGTAGAAGCGTTGAGTAAAAGGTTTTTGTTTTATTCAGATAGTGTACCAATTCTGATTTACCGGTGGAAGATCACAGACAAAATATCAACACCTGTAAAACTAGAATGATGGCAGAGTGTATTACAATACGGAGCTTGTCACCAAGCTACTGGTATCTGCAAGGAATTTTAGATACAGTCAAGTATTGACAAGTATGGACACACAGGCACAAGTCTGATTTTGCTTGATATGTACCCCTGACACATGCATACCGGTGTCTGCCTTACCACAACCAATGCTCCAGCTGTGACATGTCATTATCACACCTGTTCTTCAGACCTAAGAAACATTCTTAGTTCAAATCATATCAGCAACAGGTACTACACAAACCCTATTAACAGATTAATAGGATAGACATGATATAATATTTGTCTCCTTTCAAAAACAAAAAAAAGCAAAAAATTAACACCTGACCATATTAAATTAACATCTTCCCAAAACCAAAATTCAATCTTATATAAATATTCCTGTTTAGTGAATTTACTTAAATCTGCCTCCTACCCTCGGAAGATAGCAATATTTCTTCTCACTTGAAAAGGCGACTATATTGTATGTATATGTATACTTACCATCAGGTGAGACCACCAACATTCGTCCTGATCGGTTAACCTCATCAAACTTTGCATAGATGATTGACAACCTGCATGTTCAAGACCAACACAAGAACAGGTAAACCCACATCAGTCATCAAAAATCATTGCTTTTGGCGTCTTCTCCAAGTTGCAATTAGTTTGGACAAGCAACTTTCTGTTATGTTTTGTGACATCTAAATTTGCAACTGTAAGGGGACTGAAACCCTTGGCAAAGCAAATTTGTTATATTGATAACTGATTAATTGGCACTTAAGGTTGGGCCCACCCAATCATTTTCATTCAACCACCTCATCAATGTAAAATATCAAGATGTAATTGTTTGGTTAGGAACAAGGAACTGTAAAATGTTGATGGCCATGTGACAGTACAGGCTCTACCGGTATCTTGGGTGTAGAGGGGATACTCTATAAGCAGCCTGAAATGAAGTCCAATGATATAAAAGTTTCTAGCATTCAAAACCTTTGCCCCACTGATACACATAAGAAACCACAATGAACATGAGCAACATTTTGGTTATGGACAGTAATGGACAGTAATACAGCCCAGAACACACTGCTTATTTTCACATCTTACCTTGATGATGGGATGCCTTTCTTGCCTAGGTCAATCCGTACTTTCTCACCTACATGCCTGTAAATCTCTACCAATGTGTTTATGGCTGTATCACGCACCTAACCAATATGCAAACAAGTGACATTTACGCATTATCCAAAATAACATGACAATTCAGCTGAACAAAATAATGGAAAAGATTTTTTTCAAAAGAACTCCTTTCAATGGTTACTGAAATCTACGCACATCAGGCATGAGATTGGAGTAAAATACAAAGTATCCACACAATAAACATGAGAAGTTTTAAGTGCCCCACAGTAGTATAAGGTATATGGTATCTTTTTGTGCTTGCCTACTGGCACACCATAAAATACCCATTTCTCATGTTCTATATCAACTTTCATACGTAAAAACACCTTTAGGGTAAAGTCAGGATTTTCCCAATGTTAAAAATGACCATGAAAAAATTCTAAAATCAGGAAAAATCTGGACAAGTCTCACCCCTGCTACATGTATTCCTTAAAAAGGCACAACCATCCGTCAACAATATTAACAAATATTAACAAAGAAATTAATAAAAAAATTCAAACACAGACTCATGACTAATAAGAGATTTTGAGTTTTGGAAAGACAAAATGTTGAATATATATAAAGGCAATGAGCACAACTGGCCTTTCTGAGATGAAACTTAAAACTATTGAAAAGCGTCTTTGAGCAAACTGTGACAATCCTTTCTGTGGCAAAGTGAAAAAAGTCCATCTGGCCTTGAGAATTCTGAAGAGCTCTTATGACTCATTCCACTTTGGAAAACAGGATCTGCAATACACGCACATGTAGGACAGCAGGATACATGATATTTTTGCTCTTTCAGGGCCCATTTCTGTGCATATAAAATCCACCTCTTTTAGCCAATACTCTTTAACGCTATACACATTCCATGGGCAATATCATATGTTGAAATCAATCAATGAAGTAACAGCCACAATACAAGCAGGTACTGGTATCGTAGCTACAATGAAAAGAAATGTTGTAAAGTTTCTCAAAGTTGCTTGGGAAAAGTTTCTTTTCATCGTAGGAATGCAAGAGTAATAGCTGTCTATTTCCAACACAATACATGTACCGGTTTATCTGCAAGGACTGGGCAGGACTAACTGCATACTTGACAAATGGTATTTTGGTTTTGAAGTGGTTCCTGTCTAAGTGATTTACCTGGCTGTTAGGGTCTCCCAGCAACTTGCAAATTGAGGGAACTATTTTATTCAGTGTTAAACTGGCTGCACCAAACCTGAAATTAAGAATCAAACGAAGTGGATTAATCATGCCAGTGAAAAAAATCGTATAGAAGCTACGTGTACCTGTACGTGTATAAAAATTAAACGTTCCCTTTGGATATACCTGAAAACTATCATTTGAACCTCAATGAAAGTGATAAATACTAATACTTTTAGCAATTCTTTTCATGAGGTGGAAATCCACAAAGCATATTAATTACCATCACATACACACTACTTCACTGTTTATTGCTAAAGATACATTTCATACAACATGGTGTTCAATTTGTTCACATACATGTACATGTAAAAATTGTATGTTAAATATGTGCATTTTCCAAAAAAAGTATAAGTAAAACCCTTGACAGGTTAATTGAACACAGGTGTTTACTTTTCATGTACTTGGGGCACAAGTGCCTTCAGGTTCAATATCAAAGCAGGAAAAAAGCCTGAGTCATCCCCATTCCCAATTCTTCCCTGCCCAAGCAGCATATACAAAGTCAGACCATCTGGTCTGGAGGGGCGGATAACAAATTTCAGCGAGTATAAATATCTCACCATTCAGCTGTACTTAATCACAGCTGCTGGGTATATATCACAGAGATGTTTACACTCATGAATGACCATGGTGAATCACTCCATGAATAATGGAGCAAATCATCTGGACAACAGAGGGCAGCAAACTCATTTACAAGTACACTGGCTGGATATCAACACAAGAGGGCTTAATTGTCATCTAAGATAGTAATTTGTTACCAAACTTGATACCACTCAAGAAACTTAGGTAATCATATCTTGGAATTTCACATGTTGCATGCTAAAAAATCTAGGTATGATTGTCACAATCATTTTAAAGACTTAAAGTATCATAGGCCTCCTATAAGTCTGCATGTTCAAGTACCGTACTGGTACATATTTGACTTGTTTTAAATGTTTATAGTACATGTACATGTGTATATTTCACGTACTTCAAATATTGGGCAATTCTAAACCAGGGGGACATGTAAACACAATCTCACTATCTGCATACACAGGGAAGGGCTGAGGGGTTACACTGCCATATGTGCTGTGGGTCATTGCCAGCAGATACACATGTATTACACCCCTATTTATCAGGATTGGTTTGTACACACACAGACAAGACAGAGTTCGAGAATTCTGTAGAGGCAGATTGTGTCAAAGTTGAACTTGATTGCTGTATACAGCCTGCTGTAGCAGTCTGTGACTGAGACCCAGGGAAGTGTACAATATAATGGGGTAAAAACTATTGCACAAATATTAGTCATATCACACCAGTAACTCAGACTCTATAAGTAAGTCAATGCTTGAGGCATTTGGCTGTATATCAAATTATCACATACATGTATCTCATTTATATTTTGCATTTAATGCAAGTCAAAATACTGTCTGCAAGTGGCCAAAGTCGTCTCAATGACTTCTATTACCAAAGATGAAGGCACAGACACAGTCACAGCCCAGATTTCAGAAATGGCTCTGTACCAGGTACTTACTGCAAGGACAAACCAATTTACCTCAGGAGTACTTACACATTGATTGTCTGGTTCAAGCAAAGCAAAATCTCTTCTCGGACTCTCCAACCTTTATGTGAGAATCCCTTCATCAACCTCTCAAAAACGTACTGTAAAGAACAAAAGTTGCAGAACAGTTAACAGGTAGTAAAAACTTTTCAATCTCGTTCGACAGAAAACAGGAAGTATTCCTTGCTTATTCAGATTTTCCTTTTGAAATAATATCCAGCAAAACCTCTCAAAAAAAATAGAAATAACACCTGCCAATCCAGCATTCAAAAGGATAGAAAGTTTCTGAAAATGAAAAACAAAGGTCTAGCGAATGGTTATGCATCAATATCAAATACATGTAGGTCCCATCATCTCTAATTTCCATAACACTGGGTAGCATGACCCAGCTCCTAGACAATTGACCTAGAAATGCATAGCATTCCTATCATGATGAGTTTCCCAAGTTACCATGGCTGATGCTAATCGCTCTTACATGTGAGTGTGCTAAGCAATGTACATGTATGACAATGTTTCAACAAAAAAGCAAATCAATAATTTCAAAAAAAATTCTGTGTTTTGGTTTTTTTCCCCAACTCCATACAGCATATTTTACGAACACACCATGAAAAAGTACAAGTACACTTAGCACAGGTGAACATTTGGTACCACAATAAGCAACTTACTGTACACTTACATGTACAATGGTACATGTACCGCACATGTTTGGCATTTACAATGTACATGTTATGCATAATGTATGACAACCTTCATGTACAATGTACAGCAACGAATCTTGGGAACCTAACATACCAATCTACATGTATTCAAGATGCTGTGTGTTAGCATAACAACAAACATTGCCCATGCATGCAATGTTTCTGAAATTCAAACCATCTTTTTTGTGTCAGCATTTTCTTCTGCAATCCATTTTCCTTCTTTTCCCAAACTGGCAATGCAGAAATTTGAGCACTTTTCCAACATGGGAAGAAAACTCTGACATCATTTAATGGAGGCAAACTAACAGTTCTGTGTTGCAGAGTCATGATTTAATTTCATCAGAAATGCTACACAGTACAGTGTACATGAACACAAATCTGGCTAAGCACTTTGTAAGTGAGGGCGCCCTAAACAGGAGCAGCCATTTTAATTTGTCTCTTCATTGTCAATTTTTTAATCCGTTTTTATCATTGTTTACCTTTTCCATCCGTTCTACTTTGAGTACAGAAGCCTGGTTTTTCAATAAGAAATAACTAGGAGTATGGGGCTAGGCTGCCAGAGCGATATGGTAACTATTTATAATACTGTTGTGTATTGTATATATTGTATTGTCTCTATTTTGAGTTTTGAGTTTTTATTTTGAGTTTTACCAGTAAGTTTAAATCTACTCTTTGGTTTATATTTACATTTTTTATTTTTTAGTGCTCTTTGAATGTGTAAATTTTATTATTATTCTTATAAATTTTTATCATTGCATAAATGCTGGGCATCTCTGGAAAACAGTAGTGACTGAAAGGTCTCCCCAGAGTAAATAACTAAAAATTAAAAAGCATGTGGGCTAAGCAAGAAAACTGTGGGCAGGACTACATATGCAAATAACAAGGTAATAGTTTTGGTAGTCACGCATATTATTCATAAATTACGAGTACTAGTACCTGGGGTGATGAAGCTGGACTCATCAGTTTCTGGATGAGTGCCTGGGCTTGTTCACGCACCTGCATCAAAACAGAAAATAGTTAATAACGGCTGCATCTACATGTACATGCACATGTATGCAAACATGGTACCAGTAGATAGCGGTACTGTACATTTAGTACCAACACGTACATGTACATCACCTACATGTAACTAATGAAAGTTTAGAAGCCTGTGAATAAAAATGCAACAATAACCATGATTAAGTGGGCAAAAACAACAGTTCAGAAGCTTAAAATCAATTTCTTTAAAAATGGCAAATATTTTGAATTTTAAATGTGAGTGGAGTACATGAACACATGAAAATACCGGTTACAAAGAAGAAAAAAACTGAACATTGAGATGTGGCATCTTACCTGAACTGTTTCTCACTGCCTCTTCTAGTGTTTGACCGGTATTTCGGCCCACTGTTTTCCCACGTATTTCTAAATGCAAGCTTGTGAACTTATCATCTGTACTGTACATGTACCATATATGTACATGTACACGTATTTGTTCATGTAATGGTAATTTATTTCTTCTACACAGGCCAGATCATGTTGTTTGGTCAAGTACATTAAATCTTCAACTTCAATCTAGTAATCAGAGAAGTACATGTACATGTAAAATGTACCGGTAATTATCACAAAAATTGCAGTGTCAGGTCACTGATCTCCCTTTTTCATGATTTCAATGGAAACTAACCCATGCCCAATACTTTGATGATGGACTCATCATCTGTGTGGAACACTATAATATACAACGCTACATGTCATGTAAATATCAAGTTTCGGTCAGTACCCACTGTAGCCTAATTGGCCTGCTCATCTATGTCAATGTCACCTTGGCTACACTGAAAACACAGTCTTTATGGATGTACATGTACATGTACTTGATCTTTAGTATATATATCTGAAATGGTCTATAGACCGCTGGCTGTACAGTAGCAGCTCTGCAGTGTACATGTACACTCAATAGTTTACACTGTACAATGTTCATGTACATGTACAGGTAGGCCTACTGTGTATTCATATTATACTGTACATGTACATGTACTTTACACGTAGATGTAACTATTGCTGTCTGACTGCGCGATGGTTCTGAATTTCAACCTGGCTACCCTTGATCTTTAGCATACATGTACCGCTTTATACATCCTAAATAGTCTGTAGACCATTAACTGTTGTGGCACTGCCTCCAGTAACTGCTAAATGCATACATAAACTGATAATGTCTACATGTACCTACTGTACATGTACAATGGACATGTACAGTAGCAACACTCTAGGGAATTTACAATGTGCTTACCAGTGGGACTTATATTTCCCTACATGTATGCACAAATATGCATTGTACCAAGTATGGAGAATCTAGACCATTGGCTCCAGCCGCTCTGCTTACGTGAGTGGAAATCCAGCTTTATACTGTACGGTGGCTACAAACATTATACTTACTTGATCTTTCCCATCTCCTAGACGGTCTACAACAGCTGGTAGTACTGTGGGTAAGACAGAAACAAATAATCCAGCGTTTAGTTTGCTTGAAATGCCAAAAGATGAATTCATTCAGGTCAAGATAAAACCTAAAGCAACTTCAATCAAGATACATGTCCATGTATTTACATACATATACCGTACAAAATTTGAACTTCAGAATGATGTACATGTGTATCAATGATTACACACTGATGTGTCAATAATCTTATCAAAAAACCTCAACTTTAACTTTTTGGAAAAGAACTGACGGACAAATCCTTTTTCTGGCGAACCCACATGAAGTGACAAAAAATATTAAAACCAATAACAAAAATGACGTACATGTACATATACTTTCAAAACACATTATAAAGCATGCTCGCATGTATACATATTTGATACATCCATTTAGTTACAATAGATCCAAAAATGTACTAATCGCACATACGGTATTATGTGTACAAATGTAGCAGGAGAACAGTGTTGGAATTAAATGCGTTTAAAACTTCCACACTGACACTAATGCTGATTAATGCATATGCGCATGTACTGGTATACTTGGGTTAAAACAATAATGTGTCTGTTCCCGGACACTCCCACTTGTATAATATGTACACATATATTAATCTTTAACCCTAACCCCCTAGGGTGTATGTAAAATCATATTGAAATTGGAGGATTTGGGACTGTTAGGGTTAATGTGCAGAATGCCTGCAGTGACATACAGTACAGTTGTGTACCAGTACTTCAATTGGTTATAACCTGTATCACTAACTTACATGTACCACCCAAAACAGAAAAAAGAAAAAGAGACAGGGCTAACTCTGATGTGGTTTCTACAGGTACAAACAGTTACTTATAGTATTTGTATAATTTTCCATTTTCCTGTCATTAATTGACATGAATTACACGTGTCACAAGAGCCTGAACAAGTCTGATACACGTACACACATGTACATGCATGTACCACTCCACCATAGACTATGGACCTATGATTTCACTAACTCAACTGGGAATCACCTCATGACTCATCATGTGCAACAGACCTAATCTAATGATGAAGCCTGGCTGGTGTTTGAAGCCAAGTTGGAATGCAAATAATCATTGTCTCATTATGCACATCTAAGAATCATATGTTTTGTTTGAAAAGGTGATAAATCTCCAAACAAAAGATACACTTTTTGTAGAATGGGATCATCTGACTGATAAAATGTCATTGCTTTTTATTGTGTCATAAATTGAAACGGTTTGGGTAAACCAACTAAGATAAGCTGGGAATGTTTGAGACCTGATTTAGGTGAATGAATAACTCAGCACAGTGGATGATCAGAGTCCAAATCAACACAAACTACCAACGCAAGATAAATCATATACATATATATGCACATATAATGAAATGGGAAACAAAGCACACTTGTAAGCATAGGTGTATGTACATCGTTTTCCTGTCTACTGACGGACGCAATGTGATAGAATCAGTTACACCATATGAATCTTGCTTCAAATACAAATACAGGTTGGCCCTACATGTGTACCATGACCATCTGCTAGGATTGTAAAGTCCTGTCTTAGTTACAATGTACCTGTGCCAATGTGTATTCTAAATTTCTCTTCCATTCTGTCAACCAGACATGTTAGGCACTCAAGGCCACACAGAGAAACCTGCAATCCAGAAAAAAATGATAAAGATATTAAGAGAATTAATGTTATCAAGTTGATAATTAAAATTCTGTCCAGTGAGTTCACAACTTCTGTATACACGTGCATATGTGTTTATGTACAGTATCAGTACGTGTGAGTACATACATTGTAGGAAGCATACAGTGTACATGTACATGAACAACAATACCGAACATGTACCAAAACATGCATCAAATACCACTTACCACTACACTGTACATTATACATGCACATGTACTGTATGCACCAGTAATTGTACAAAACATGCACCGTAATTGGTGGCACCGAAGTCACAAGGGTCCCACCCATTCTCTCCAAGAGCAACCGCTTAATATAGGAAAATAATGAGATCCTTTGCAAGATAATATTACAGCCATCAGCACTGATGGGTGTTATGATCTACACATGTACATGTAGAGTTGATTCCACAGATTGGACTTGACTTTGTGAAGAAGTCTGTATCATATTTCATATGAGTTCATGTAAATATACATGTACTGGTACCAATACCTGCAGAACCTGATTTACAATGTACATGTACAGTACAATGCAGGTGTACATTATCCAGTGTACCAACATTTAATGAATTTATTACAAGTTGATGGATATTACATGTCAGGTACATATACATGTACATGTACAGTACCAGTACCGTACTGGTACCTTAAATACAAAGTACTACTACATGTACATGTGCAAAAACAAGCTACCCGGTACACTAACATTGACCTTTGAAATGGTTGACATACATGTACCGGTATGTACATGTACTACAATGTAAGTACTAGTAATGTTGGCATCATACAGAAATCATTGATGTGCGTGTACATGTATGTACCAGTGCTGACATTAAATGTTTCCAAAATACTTGTACCGGCACCTGTACACATTACCATACATTTATATTATTATAAAATTCCCAGAGTTTTACACAGACACTATTTCCATCAATCCTGCAATGTGAATTGTACTTAGTTCATGTACATGTACATACATTGTACACTGTACACTATACATGTATGCTGCATCACTGCTTTATACCGGTACATGTACATGTGTACAGGTACACAGTAACTTTTTGCTCCAAAGATCCTTTTATATGTACATGTACCAATACATATGTCCTGTATCATGTACATGTACATTTAAATTGTACATGCATGCACTGAGATTATGTCATGGTATTGCATACAATGTACATGTACTTGTACCAGTAGCCTTACATGTTTGACATGAACAGGTACATGTACAATGTACATATGAACTACACATGTACATGTACCAGCAGCCTTACATGTTTGACATGAACAGGTACATGTACATGTACAATGTACATGAACTACACATGTACATATACATGTAGTAGGCCTTGTGTTTAGCCAGTGTGTAACTTCAATTAAAAACAAATAAAATAAACAAAAAGCCTTTTGTGACTTTGAATATTGGCACATACATGTACATGTACATGAAGCATATTTTTAAATGTTTTTAGAAAAGTCATCATAGCCTTTTGGCTATAGAAAAACAAGGAAAAATCAACAACACTAATGCACTCACATGTTACCATGACTGTTTCTCATCATGCATGCCTCGAATGTTTGAGTATGTACAAGTAGTGTATGGTACTGACACATGCACCTGCAGTCAAGTTTTTGAGTAAAATGTTCCCATTGTACACATGTACATGTACATGTAGATGTACCGTACAGTGTGTGGTTGTAAATGTATTGTACACTGTACATGTGCATACTTCGTACAGGTCTAGACAATACCAGTAGAAGCAAAATTAAAATACGTACCAGTACATATACATGTACATGTACATGTAGGCCTAAACCCATGTATCGGACATTATACTCGTACATTGTACATGTAATTCACTGTGCATCATAGCACTGTCTCTAGATGCATTTGAAGCTTCTAATTACCGGTACGATGAAACATACATGTACATGTGCATATTTATGCACATACCTACAGGTACATGTAAAGTGTACATGTACTGCACCATAAAACTTAAGTACACGCTGTCAAGGACTCTGCTGTAAATTTATGTTTTCAATTTCATAACTAAACACGAACAACGTGTACAAATGAACATGTATGCAGTGAGAGAGATTCAAGTTTGCCCAAATAAAACCTACATGTACTAGTTAGTACCAGTATATGTATGTAAATGTACTAGTTAGTACCGGTATATACATGTAAATGTACTAGTTAGTACCGGTATATACATGTAGATGTACCGGTATGTGGGTAATTCCAGACGTTAGGGGTCCAAAAGTGTGACATTTTTGTGTTCCTGTTACATCTGACTATATATTTGACATTGAAATATCACCAGAATTTATTTCAAACTACATGTAATACAACTGGTATTTGTTTGGCAGGTAATTTGCATTAATTCAGCACTCTTAGATTTTGGAAAATGTGTTCAGAACATACAAAATCATATGTCAGATGTGACAGGGACATGAAAAAATCAGCCCATAATATATGTATCTGGAATGACCCATTTCATTTTATTTCATTTATTTTGTTTTTCGGGATCAACATTTCACAATAACAAAGTTTACAAGAGAGAGAGAATACACAGGACATACATGTACAAAATACAAATGAACAGTATTTAACCAGCACCAGCTGGATTATCCAAAAGAAACATGGTTTCTGTTGAGGGGCTCTCCAACTGGTTAAACAGGAAACAATAAGAACAATAGTAAATGTAGATCAATACATAAATACATGTAGATAAGAACAGGGCAGTAAAATAAATTTTAAAAGTTTATCTAACTTATTTTGTAGAGCTGTACATGTACATGTATATTAACATTATTATGAAACAAACTAACACCCATCAAAAACAAAGAAAAAAACAAAACCAAAGGGGAGGGGGCAGCTGCAAGCCCACGTGAATGTCTAGCAGACAGTATCTTAAAAAGCGACATGTACAGTATTATAAATATGCTGCAGTGTTGGCCCAGATATCCAGGTTCTGTTTTATGGGCATCCATGGATGTGCGCACTGAGTGCTAAAATTAGCCACTGAGACAGTATGACAGCATACACGAGGCTATCATCTCTTGATCAATATAGCCATTCATGATTGAACCTTGTTTTAACAAAATGATTCAGCTCTACTGGTGATTCTGATGCCACAGGGTAAAAATCAACCAATTTTACTACATGATCATCTGGATGCATGATCCACTAGATGTAGACTATGTAGCTCAAGGGTGGGGGAGGGGCTGATAACACTGATTTTACTGACCACTTGTTCTGCAATAGGGATTCAGTGGGCATATGTACATGTACATGTACATGTATGTACAATGTATTGACTATAAACCTGAGGAAACAGCAACTCTCTATGAATGTTTCCATGCAAATTGCATGATAAATTTGAAACTACAAAACATGATGCTGGGAAACAGCCTGGGAAAATCCCACACCTACACAAGTCGATGTCAATAGTGTACTTGTACACGTACATGTACTGTACATGTACATGCACATGCGCAGGGTGTACCGTAGATACATGTACTTGAAGTGCATCTCGTGCAAGTTACATGTACACACGTGTCGGTACATTAACATGTCGACTGTGCAATCTGTTATCTACAAGCACTACATGTAGGCATGCATTTTGAACATGTGTAAAGCAGTATCACTTTCAAATATTTGATCGTAAATCAATTATTAAAATGTCCCACCCTGTTTATATGCCTTCATCAATAAATTACCAATACTTTTAGTTACTCATTAAGGTACACTACAACTGTATATGTACTGTACATGTCAAAGTGCTTTAGCAGATTTTCCCTTAAAATACCTGCCACAAACAAGCCTTGATTAACAAGGCCATAACATGCATCAGGAATCTCATTTATGACATGCGTGCCCAATGTACAACACGTGTATAAAATCAATTCAAAAATACAATATTTCATCACTCCCATGGATACGAATAATATTTACATGTTTCTGAAAGCCTCCAACTTCCTGTTTCTAAGTATACTTTTTTTAGAAACTACTAGTAGAGAGGAAATGATCACCAAACATTTGTGTGTCAGTGCCTAATTGTGTACATGTACATCTTGAACATGTACATGTAGATCTTGGCTCTTAATAAGAAAAACAAAGCTGTTAAAATGTAAGCCTTCAGTATTCCCTTGCATGTCATGTACATACATGTACATGTACATATATGTACATGTACGTACATGTACATATATGTACATGTATGTACACATGTACATGTACGTACGTGTACACATGTACGTATACTGTACCACCAAGGAGAAGGAGCAGGCATTTTGTTCACAACTGTAAATGTACATGCACTTGTACAATATTAATCATCTCCCAGAAACAACCTGTGCGTAGGCACTCACATTTTACCAACGCATGTAATGTTCACCACCGAGGGATATATCCTGCATTCCCTTAACAATTACATGGATCCTCTATGGTACAGTGACATGGGCTTCATGTCCATTCATATTTGACTTTGTGTGTTTCTACATACATGTACACGTATGCATTAATAAGGGAATAAATATTGCTTGGCCGGTCTTAAATGAGCATTTAAGACCGGCTCAGGAGAATGGACCTGACTTATGCCTGAGCCGCAGGTGAGGGCATTATCAGCGTTCATTCTCCTAAGCAAGGCCAGCCAAGTACATATTTACATGTATTTCCATTCATAAATACTGGTACCATTTTATTCAGAGGCAAAGGAAGTCAACATACAGTTTTGTATGATGGATTCCCCAAAATTTTGTTCTAAAACGTTACTTTCAGTTTCCCCAACATCCCTGTCTATTTTATGGTATACATGTACAGGTATTCCTTTTGAAAGTCGTCCAGTAGAATCCCCCTCAATGAACTTGGTGCGCGCGTGGCACGTTCTGTGTTGCACACAGACTCTTGACCAATAGGCAGATAGGGATGGAAAAAAACTGTCTCATACACCAGTAATTGTACAGAATATGCACCGTAATCATTAATACAAGGTCATGTTGCACGTTGTTGAATAAGGAGACTTTCTGGATACATGAATTTGGAATACACAATTAACATTAGCCTAAATTAACTTCTTTCAAGACAATTTTTGCCCTTGGTCATATTTGCAACCTGTATTACTCCATGTCGCACTTGTTATGGCCTAGTATAATTTCGACAAGAACTACAAACTTTTTGAAATGAAAAGATACAGTCCTTTACAAAGCTGGACTTACATGTCTGCTGACCGTTGGTGGTCATTTGTTCAAGATTTCTAACTACATGTACATGTACACCTGCACTTTATAAAACTTCGAGACCATGTCACATGTGGGTAGGCATTCACCGCGTTATGGGGACAATGCCTTAAAGGTAAAGGTACATGTACATGTCCCCAAAACATTTTTGGTCCCCACAAAATAGGTAAAAATATCAAGCGTAGGTCCACACAACTACAGAAGAAGGGAATCATTCAAGTGTGAGGATGAGTATGATATACATGAGATCACATGCCGCCACAGAATTCTCCAGAACCTGTAAACGGGGCAATTTCTGTATGGTTAGTATGGTACATGAGTACATGTACATGTAGATGTTTGTGTACAGGGACATAAAAATACTGGTGCATGTACATGTAGTACATGTACTGGTACATGTACAAGTGGTACTTGTACATATATATACATGTACAATGTACCTTGCACATGTGCAAAATATAATTCAATCTTTGCCAGACTGCATTAATTTTGGAAACTTGTACATGTACTGAATTCTAATGACTGTATTACATGACAAGTACCTGTAAATAATTTCATAATCACTAGACAGCTGATTAATATTGTGCTTTCCTATGTACATCCATACATGTACATGTACATCACAGGGCTCCATTCTATACAGTAAAAGATATTGATTTTATGAAGGTTCAATGCTTAGAATACGGTACATATGTCCTATACACTTTGGGGGCAGATATTCAAATTTTGGCATTTACATGTGTACCATTATACAGTATGCAATGCTGCACATGTTTTCAAACATGCACATGTACCAGTGTACATGTACATGCACATGTACATTCATCTTCGTGTACATGTAGTGCAAGACAGCATGAGTACAATACATGTTCCAGTGACAGTAGAGAAGATCTACATGTGCAGGAGAAATTTCACATGTACACAAGCTTACATGTACATTGCATTATGACACAAACTTCTATTACACTATTTTCTTTGACAGGTTGACAACAAAACTGCCTGAATGTGATTGTTATCATTTGAGGTAAAGAGTATCAGTGGGAAAATACTGTCCTTGGCTACAATAAATTGTTGAGTACAATCTTTTGTTGTGAGCAGGTTGACCAGACAGTTGCATGTTTAAAATGATGGCCTTTTGTTGTTAAAAGACTCTCCCTCATACCAGTAGTGTAGGTGTCTTGGAGTGTACATGTAATTGAAACAAAAAATTTTTTAAAATTAATGCAATGTTTTTTCTGGATGTTTGGACCAGGGCATACCGGTAAGTACATTGTACATGTGTGTACAGTGCATGTTATCGGTATACATGTACGTATGTTGCTCTCATGATTTTCAGGTGCTCTAAAGGGACAATTTCAAACATCTGCAATACAGGCAATTCACAATAGTGTGCCTCCAAGAGGTTGCAACGCGTTGGCTAATCACAACACAGGAAATCTGCCGACCCTTTCCAAACACGCATTGGGTCGACAGATTTTGCACATTGTGATTGACCAACGCGTTGCAATATCTCAGAGGCACACTATTGTAAATTGCCTGTATTAACCCTCCTATGGTTTTACAGCACAAATGTGCACAAATGCCCACAGTCACTGGTGAGCATGTAGTTTCTATATGGAACTCAAACATGCACAGGTTCAGTGTGTACACAGTAGGTTGTCCGCACAAAATGATCCAGGGTCTT